TGACAGATAGATTTATGCTCATTTTTGGTGATGATCAAAGAAGGCAACCCTGGGTAACTTGTTGTGAATCACCTTTTGCTTCTATTTTAAATGATTTTGTTCAAAAGAAGTTAGTATGGACTGCTGTCTTCGTTGGTAACTTGGGAGAGGAACCTTAACAATAGGTTCGAGTAAGCTGGTTTTAGAAGACTACAGTATCAGGGAGAAATAATTGGAAATGATGCACAAAAGCTAGCAGTGTGCTGTAGGGATGCTGCATTATGTGATACAGCATGTGAGGCTGCATGGGAAGAGTGGGAAGAGATCAGTCCCATTAAAATAGGAGGGAGCCATGTGATCTGTTCTTAAGCTTTCTGTGGGCACCTTAATTTGCTTGTGAGATGATGTACATAGAGCCCTGAAGTGAGTTGGTAAAATTTGATGATAGAGATAAGCCTTGGAACTGAGGTTCCTCTTTATTTTGTGTTATATGTGTCAACTCTTAAAACTAGTGACAGACTGTGGATGCTGGACTTCTCACTGAGTGCCAGTGGCCCCTGTGCTGCTGTTTTAGAATGAGGAACGGTGCCTGAATTTAGGCTTTCTGTGGCTTCTTTTCTTTAAACCCCTGGACAATTTTGCAGCTGATATTGATATCCTTTGCTTTCAGAGGGGCAAAGCTACATCTGGTGCCACCATATATGTTGTCCAAACCAAGACAAAAAAAGAAGGGCAGTATGTTTTTCTCTGCAAAGTAGACAAAATGGAATGGGAGCCATCAGCTCCAAGGGAGCTATGTGTGCTGCCCCATCTGAGGAGCAGGCTACGTTATACCTGATTTTTCCTTCTTGGAGCAGATCAGTCAGTAGTTGAGGGATCAGCAGTAGGCTGTGTCTTTTCTTTTTATTCTTCCTTCTCCCTTTCAATACCAGGGAATGACCACCCAGAAGCCTGGCAGGAGAGAACTGTAGCTGCCTATTTTCAGCCTTTCTTCCTGGGACTGGCATCTAGGGCAGCACAAAGTAAATTTCTTGCTCTCTCTTCTTAGAATCGTAGAGTCACAGAACAGTTTCGGTTGGAAGAGACCTTCAGGATGATTGTCAGATGTAAGGAGGAGAGTGCAGAAAGGCTGGGAACCATGAATTTAACTTACTTATTTTTATTTCAATAATAATTTCACCTGGCCTTCTCTGGTGGAGCGGTAGTCTGAGAACAGTCAAGGTACCTCAGTCAGAGGTATCGGTGCTAAAACTGTGCATGATACGCTTGAAGCGTGAAGTGTTTCCTGCTTCCTCCAATACCAAACAGTACATCCTACCCATTTTGCTTTCTAGATAAGGCTCTTCCATTTAAAGAGTTTTCCTTTCCTCTGTTTACTGAACACTGAATTTTTAGAAGTTATTTTCCACATGCTTTTCAGGAAGGAGATTAAAGAGGATTTCGTCTTTATTTTAGACAGTATTGTTAATAACCGCAGCGAGGTTGCAAATCTGAGGAAAAGGAGAGTCAGGTTGATATATAAGGTTTTGTTCTACTTGCTGTGTTGTATTAGTGATTCTGGTTTTGCTTGTATGCATTTTTCCCCAGTAATTTTTTACAAATATTGCAAGTAATGAAATGCCTGTAATTTCTAAGATTCTCAGAGTCCTGCTTTGTATTGGACTGTATTTATACATCAAAGCAATAGCAGACCCATTTCTAACTATAAATAATCCTCCTCACTTGAATGTTCAAGTGCTTTCCACTAATTCGTTATCTTATATAATTGCTAATTTTTCTCTGAGGGCAGGAAGCTTTGCTTCTTCTATCTTACAGAAAGAACCTGAGCCACCAGGCTGAGTGCATTATTCCTCTCTTACATGCAGAGCCTGCTGCTGCCGAAATAGGGATTTTACTCAAATATGATTCCAGCTTTACAACAATAATATTACAGAGTAGCTACTGCTGGTGACACTTTGGAGATTTTTATGTACAGGAGCCCTTCTGTTTCCATTTCACTTTATTACATGCACTGTGCATTTCGCTATTTGCTATTGTGCTCTAGCTCCAAATCAGAGTAGACCTCCTGGAGAAGCTAATAGCGGGAATGTAAACCCTGCTGGGAGCTACCTGCGTCTTGCCGTTTGGTCGCTGCGGAGGAGTTACTGACTCCATAGCAGGAGTTCATCAAAATGGGAGCACTTCAGTGGTTGCTTGTGGTATTCACAGATCTCAATGTGGAATCCTCATCGAAGTGTGCAACATTTTAGCCCTTTGCTGGCGTCTGACTTCTGTGTGTACATTCATTAATTTTAAGGATTTACTGAAGAGTTTAGATTCTTCCTGCAAGTTGCTTGGTTTCTGGTATTAATTATTCACAGTCCATGATGTTTGATCATGTCCTGTTTCAGGTATTGCCTCACTTACCTGCCTTTTTGTCTGTCTCCCCCAGTTTCATTGAACATATGTGAAAACCATGTGAACGGTAAAATATCTTTATTCCTCGAAGATTACTGGGATATCTCTGGAAAGAGTGGAATGGTCTCAGTCAAGCTTATTCATGATTTTTGTCCATAAATCTGGTCATTGTCGTACTAACTGTAATTGATTTTGCTTACGGTCAGACTTGAATAGGCCGGCTTTAAAAGTTTACTGTGTAATATATTGCTTCATTCTAAGTGGCACGAGAAACTAACCCTACACAGAAAATTAACAGTGAATATGTGTTACATGTTTCCAGATAACTTAAAAATTGCTGAGAATCTTCCTTAATGGAAGAACATCAAGGTCAATATTTGGCTGGAATTGATTTGAATGGTTGATACTGAGATAAAAAGAAGGAAAGTAGCCTTATTTCACTGAGAGGAGTAGAGGGGTAATTGGAGCACAGCTTGCTATGGATGGTAATGGTTAGCACAGCGAGATGGATTTCAAGCTGTAACTGATCTGGCTACTTTGAATGTGTTTTTTTTTTTTTTTTTTATTTTCCTTCTCCCCCCTGCATATTTTTGGGGCATAGAGTAATGTACCCAACATGGGGGAAGGGCCATTTCCTGGACAGTCAGATCTATTGCCAAACTCTGTATTAGGGAAGTACCTGAGTACCCAGTTAGTAAAGATGTCAGATACAGGCTTTTTAAACATAAATCTGCTTTTTAAAAAATGGTCTAAACCCAGACAGAATTTGAGCCTTAAGAGGCTCATATCTCTGAGGACGGATATGAAGCATAGGAGACTACTTTGGCCACTGAGGTGAGCTTTCATGGCCTCATTTCTCCTTCTGCCTCAGCTGTTGCGTTCTTCACATGTGTATGGAGCTGACACAAAATATTCTGATTATTTGCCCAGAAAAGCTCTTCAGTCAGCCCTGCAAATCAGCTCCGAGGAACCATAATGATTTTGATAGAATCTCCTTAACTTTTTATCTATGCTTAAAAAGAAGTCTTTTTATCAAAATAGACTGCTTTGATTTTTTTTAAAAAGTTACTTTGCACTTATGTATTCAGTATCATACACAATGGAATTTTGAAAGTGAAAATGAAATGCTTTTATTTCATTGATATTAAATGTTTCAATTAACATAAAAAAGGACTTCATAGGAAAAAAAATCTCACATACTCATTTTTGGAAGTGCCCAAATTTTAAGCTTTCAGAGTTCACTATGAATCTTCCATTCCCACACTGCTCCACGTGTATACCAAAATGTGTTTGCAGAACTGCACCAGATATAGTGATAGATTTAATGAAACAGGAGATGATTTTCCTTCTATGAAATTCCATTTGTAAACTGTATATACCTGTATACAGGAACAGAATTTGTTTTATGGTGGCAAGAACCTGCTACCCTTATTCAGCCCAGGCTTTCACAATGAATATTCTATCTAGACATCAGCCTCAGTTTTTCAGTAAAGAACTTCGAACTCCAGCTAAAAGGTTTATGTTATCATGAAGTATAGATAATAAAAAGGAGAGGAACAGGGCTGTCACAGCTGTTCTGGAATATCTCTTTTAAGTAGTTATTTTACATGCAGCGTAGTCTAACCTTTGAAGTTGAAGTGTTCACAGCATTAACATGTAACTTCCCAACAAGAGCCCATTTTTTTCAACTTTTGCAAAGAGAATCTTAGTTTAAAAATATGCAGTTACTTGCTTAGATTTAAATGTTCTAGTCTATTAAGTTCCAGTGGGGAAAAAGCTGTAGAATTTGAGATGCAAATAGTGCTTTCTAATTGACTGCTGGAAGTGGGATGCTGTTCTTCTAACACCATGTCTTTTAGCCTTCTCAAAGCTGAATGTCTACTAGCCTTCCAGTCACTCTCTGCCGATCCTGCAGAGAGATGCATTTAATAACAGACATATATCTTCCTTCCCTGGCACCTGCCTTAGGTGGGGCTGGAAAGCCCCCGGGAGGTGCTTGATTGCTGCCTAAACATCTTAGACAGTAAAGCTGTACAAGAATGTTCCCACCTGGACACTGAGAGCTGTTTGTTTTCTCAATATTCTTTGTATGTCCCACTTCTTGGTGTTCAGAAGAAATTCCAAATACCATTATTTTTCTGAGACTGGAAATCACTCTTTCTGCCTTGCTGCTTACTGCATCAGCTCAGTTGCGTTACAGTGGCTCAGAAAAGCACTTGTGTAATGCCTTATTGCTGGAGGATGGTTTGTGGTAGTTCCAAATCATTTGCAGTTCATTTTGTTCTTTTATTCTGGCTTTTTCAGGAAATAATCCTGATGTGATTTGGGAAGCCCTTCAGAAATATTGGCACTGTTGACCTTAAACATAAGGTGAAAATAGAAGCAAGTGTATACAAGTGAAGTTACGTATTGTAAATCTGTAGCAAGTAACTTCAATGCTGCTGCCACACTTTTGAAAAGTAATTTAGAAGTGATCTTCTCAAGAGTCATTTGGGCCCTTTGGCATATCTCTTCACAAGTTTTGTTGTAGATTCCCAAGTCACTTCATGGGTAAAAGTTTTTCTGTGTCATCCTTATTAGTAGCCAATAGCTCCATGATGTTTTTTTCTCTCTCTCCTTCGCAGCTCCCTTTTTTAGATACTGGATACTTCTTTTATCACAATGGCATTGCAAAGGCCAGGAGAAGACGCAGTCTTCAACACAAGCTTCATCTGGAAAAGGATTCCAGGGTAAGTGTTTCATCATTATGTGCACCTATCATGTTTTGTTTGTGACACAGACTATTTTTTATGAGGTCAGGGTAATGATCAAATCCTTGGTTATGGCTATGTTTCCCCTCCACCCCTTGCTTGTTTCAAGCGTGGTGATTGCCGTATGCACATACCTTCCAAACAACTACTATTTCAGTACTACAAATACTTTTACATTCTCCAAGATGTATCCTCTCTCCAGTAAGATTCAGTGATGCCATAGTCTCCAGTACATCTCAGTGCACTCTGCCTCTATGGTGGGGAGGGGCCATCCAGGTTACATCTCAGAGTTGTCCCCTCCCATGCATCCTGCTAGTCCATGGGTTATCCAGCCCAGAAAGCCTTGTGGTGTGTGAAAGGTGGCATTTTCTCTGCAGTCACACTGGGAGTTTTTCTCAGGGAATAGTGTGCACACCAGATGCTAAGAGAGCATTTGCTGTCAGACTTCAGTATTTCTTTTAGAGGCTCTTGCTCGCAGATGGTGTGCTCAGTTTTCAGAAGCATAAACCCCTTAGACAGGAGGGAAAGGCCCTTTTTGCAGAAGACTACAAATGGCACTAGCAAATTCTTTTTTTATTTTCTTCAGAGCTTTTACACTGGTATAATACTGGGCTGGAGTGGGGGCAGGTAGCACAAAAAGTGTGTTTACTGCCCAAAGAAAGTAGATAAGCCCTGAGGAATGATATCATGACAGCAAATAGATTATGTTTTTAATCCTTCAGTAGGATTTGAAGTCTCTGTGCTGTGAGCGAAATAGAGGGGGGAACAATTTTATTCCAGGCAGAATTTTATTGCTAGATGTTATATGGTATTTGAAACCTACGAAAATTAAAAACTGAGTAGGATGAAAAGAAAAATAGGTTAAATAAGATCATAATTGTTGTTGTGACACGAGAGTAAACAAGGTCTATGAATTCCCAGCTTAATTTTTCTGCTTCTGCAGAAATTTCAAGTGGTTTTGGGCCCAGGTCTGACTGGGATGCACTTTGCTGGTCATTCCTGCAGCTGGGACCCATGTGAATGAACCACACAGGTTCCAGGTGCTGCCTGCCCCCATCACTTCACCCTGAGATGCTGAGAGCTGAGTCCTGATAGATTCCCGGGGGCTGCTGCTGGGCTTCCAGTGCTCTAAGGTACCTTGTTTCCCAAGCAGGGATCAGAAAGTAAACTACTGAGAAACCATTTACAATTAGTGGATACTAAGCAAATGTCCAGAGAGGTGTCTTTCATTTCCATGAACCACCTAATCTTATTAAAAGCTGTTTCAGAAAAAGCGTACAACTGAGTACGTTGTCAGCTAGTGACTTGAGTATCATCATTGTGCAGGTAACTCTGTACTGGAAATAAATATTTCTGTAAGCCTCTGAAAATTTTACAAATATCTATGATATTTGTCTAAATCCACCAATTCTCATTCAGTCTCATATTACATGGCTGAGCACTCCCATACTAATTCCAGACTATCTCTTGCGTTGATTACCTCTAGACTAAGTGTCTGCAGTGCTATTAAGATCAGCTTAAATGAATCTACCTTCTCATTTAGAGATGTTCTCTTTTGCAGTTATCTAGTATTTGCAGTTTCTAGGCTCTTAGTTGGCTTCTGTCACACAGAATGAAATCTCATTTTTGTTGTTAATCTTCACTTCTTCCTGGTGCTGCATACCAATGGCTCAGCTCACCTTGGCTCCCTCATTTGATCTCGCGGAATAAGTCGTGTATGCACATAACTAAGAATCTCTCCCATGTGAGGAAGAGGATGATCCTGGGCGTATCCTGACCTTGTGGGTTACGCTGGGGGATGGAAGGGCGATGGAAGCAACAATTCATTTCCACATCTAAAATGACATTTTTCTCCTCTAGTCCTACTTACTGTGCCCTTTCGGGTAGTCCTTGAGCTCTTATGATACTCTATAGGTCAGTTACTTTTTGTGATACAGTTTGAGAGCAATTAAAAACGTTACTCTTATTTCTCTTCTTTCTTTTATACATGAAATTTGGAGAAGTCATTAAAATTCCTGTCATATTTATGTATGAGTGGAAACATGAGTTGTGTTGACAGTACTTAATTTCAGACTCCAAAAATAATTTCTAAATTTAATGGCAGCTTTCTAGACCATTTACTTTCAATTTTACTTAGCAACAAATGTCAGCACTGTCATGGTTAATATGTTAACGCATGAAGCCAAGAATAAAATGTTCCTGTTGTCAGGCTAGCTAGGAAGGAAACTTCCACCAAAAGGGCCTTACAAACCTCTTGGGAACCATTATGGTAAATGCTGTAGTTGCTTAGTCCTACCCAAATCTTGTGAGAAAGTGGGCTGCAGTTATTCTGTATACTTTTCACTTTTAAGGAGATTGCAGTTCCTAGCTAATTTTAATTATTAGTTGAAAAACAGCACAGATGTTCACTCAATTAATTAATGTTCTTTAATCAAGTAAGTCCCTTGAGGAACCATGTCAGTTTTTCAAGAGTCCGGGGAGATAGATGCAAACAGGTTACTGCATCATTTTCATGCTCTGCGTGTCTTTTAAAATGCTCAAAACAACTTTGTTCTGTAAAATTTACTGTATGTTTTTACCAGAATAATTTGGAGATATACCTATATAGCAGTTATGTGATAAACATCATCACTGTCAGGGGGGTGGGAATGGAGCATTATTAAGATGCCTTTCTAGAGTTCCAGCAAGAACTGAATCTTTGTTCTGAAGAAGAGCCTCAAATATGATGGATTTGACATTAATCCGTTCGTGTTGTTGAAGCATGAAGCAGTACTGGCAGCAGGGGAAGGCATATGTAATAGTATCCTATCGCATATTGTACTATTGAACTGATCCAGAAAAAAGTGCAGGAGCATGAAGCACTGTGGCTTTTGCTGTCAGTACACTCCTCTCAGGGATCTTCACTGTCAGGATAGCAAATGCCACAGTGAATTGAGCTGCTTCAAATGAAGACTGTTTAGTTATTTGAATTATGTTCTTTGAGGTACAGAGAACCTTCCAGGAGCGGTTTGCTGGAAACAACTTTTTGTGTCAGTTGCAAATTTCCATGGTTTCCAGGTGCACTTGTATTTTGTTGTTTTACCATATGTACCTTTGGTGCCAAGTAGATTCGGCGGGGGGGAGGTCTCTTTAACATTTCTGCGTGTTAAAGCTGGAATTTTTAATGAGATAGGACATAGCAGCAAGATATCTAGAATTCTCTACAAGAAACTGTGTTTTCATCTGCTAATTGCTTCAGCTGAAATTTCTCAGACCAAAAGGGCAGCGATTAGGCTTAGTTCGCCTTGAGAAACTTCACTTAAGTAGCTGCTGTACTTTGCCCCGGAGCTGCAGGCAGGGAGGCAGCCTTTGCTAAGACCCATGGGTGCAGGCAGCAGGGAGGAGGTTGACAGCAGAGGGCAAGGGCCCTGAGTGACATAAAGCCACTGAGCAGTCTGAATAGGCTGGGACTGGACATCCATGTGAAGGTGAGGACAGAATAAGTGGGACAGGCTGGAACAAGAGTCTGAAAAAAGATTGAGTGATTTGGGCATGGAGCCAGCCTGTGAGCTGAAGAGGACATGGAGAAGCACGGGGTAGATTGGAGAGACTGAAACCAGGTGTCCACATTGACATCAAAGCATGCTGCTTCCTGAGCGCAGGTCACAACACAAGCTTAGAGTGAGGTGACTTTTTCCAAGGGAGTCTTCCCTGCAAGCAGGGGGGAATACAGCTTCTGTAAGAGCAAACATTGTTTTTAATTATGAGGAACAGTGGTATGTTTCATCAACGTGACTGCTCTGGAAAAGTAAATCAAAAATATGGAGATACTTCATACTGTCTTGTTTGTTAGGTTTCCTGTCTCTGTACAGCAGAGGCAGGATGGGAAGCGGAGACCATTCCTTCTCCACCGTAGCTAAAAGAAAACCATGGGATTTGCTTCATTTTGATTTTCAAAACTGACTTAGATTCTAGCCTCCTGTGGAGAGACTCAGATGTATTATTAATAAATGTTTTGAAATATGGCCACGTCAGAGGAAAGAAGAAATGCATGGTCGTTATGTTACTTTTCAGACCAATACTTTTGTATGTTTGCTGTTGTTGGGTTTTTCTGTTAGTAAATAGTCTTCCACTGAAGGAGCAAGAGTTGAAACACAGTTTGTTCTCTCAAAGATTATTTTGCTTTCTTTCAAGTTTTAGATAAAACCATTTTCCTCCCACACAGTCTCTCCTGTCAGACAGCTGCCAAGATTAATCCCACTCAAGAAAGAGGCTTTAATATACAGAGAGGAGCTGAGTCCCGGTACTGATATCTATATGTGAGTGCATCTGTGTTGGTGTTGGGGGAATAAATATATATGTGCGGAGGGGGGAAGGTGTAATGAAAATCTTCCATTGGGAGTGAGTGAGTTTGGCACTTAGATGATGGCTTCTTTGGAAACAAACATCCCAGTGATAGCAATTGTTACACTGTGAAAAGGGATTAGAAAGGGAAACTTGGCTGATACCTGTGCTGGTACAGGAGTCTGAGGAGGGCAGATGTGTAACTTCTTCAAGGCGTAGTCTCTAGATGCCCATTGTTAACAGTACTCCCAAAGTGCTTGCGTCATGGGACAGGGGAAAAAAAGGGGGATGTAAATGCAAAGGATCTAAGCTTTTAGTTAAATAAATCAAAATCTTCCATATACTTCCTTGCTCATTTAACATGACTGGCTTGTGGTTAGGCCATTGCAACGTGTGAAGGCAGAAGTGCCCTGCGATGCCAGGTGGGGGTTTGCCGAGTTCTGCCAGAGCTGAATATTTCATCCACAGTCACTGTTAACAGGGGGAAAGCCGGCCAGCAGCTTGGGAAGAGCACTGCTGCTTAACGAACAGCAGCTCTTAGCAATGGCAGTGCAATGTAAGTCAACTTTCAGCGCCCTTTCTGGCAGCATTAATGACAGACTTGAGGTGGGTTAAAGGTGTAGCCTTTTGCCTTACTCCCTTAGGTGCCAGCACAG